GCCCAGGCGGGTCTCAAACCTGCGGGCTCAGGCAATCCACTCACCTCAGCCTTCCAAAGGCGCGGGATTACAGGCTGAGCCACCGAGCCTGGCTAGCCATACAGTTTTATATGAAGACAAATATGATAATTTACCAAGGGGCATAGATGAACACTGAGGAAATAGAAATGTATAGTTTTGGCTTTGAAGACTCAATATCATCAATATTTCCATTTTTCATGGTTTCAAAACTCATATAAACTTAAAGTAATTTATTTTTATATATAAATGGAATTATTTTTGAATCTAATAAAATGATTATAGAACTGGGCTCGGTGACTCAGCTTGTAATCCCATGATTTGGGAGGTTGAGGTGAGTGGATTGCCTGAGCCCGTGGGTTTGGGACCTGCCTGGGCAAGTTGGTGAGACCTCATCTCTACAATAAATCAAAAACTAACCTGGTGTGGTAGCGTGCACCTGTATTTCCAGCTACTGGAAGGCTGAGGCGGAAGGATCACCAGAGCCCAGCAGGTCGAGGCTGTGGTTGCCGGGAGTGGCCACAGCACTCCAGTCTGGGCGACAGAGTGAGAGTCAAACTCAAAAAAAAAAAAAAAAAAGATTATAAGGCATAATGAGACAAGGAACTGGTGATTATACAAAAGAAAAAGCAGTTAGGAAAATTTGCTTTATTCAAAAATCAATATATAATGCAAAACTACATTAACTGAAGCACTGTAATTTTGATTCTTGTACTGAATGTAAAGTCCAGAAACTGATCAAATTAATATAATTTATTTTTTTAATAAACTTTAAGTTTTAAAAATTTTTTTATAGTAGGATAAAGTAGTAACACAAAGTAAACTATGGGGACCAAATAGGTCTCTCTTTCATATAATACACCAAAATAAGTTGCAGATTGATTTAAGATCCAAAAGTAATAAATGAACTATAAAGATATTAGAAGAAACACTAGGTTACATGTTCTTGGCTTGTAGAAGGCTTTTTGAGCATTATACCCCAAAGGAGTATTTTAACTTATTTGGCTATATGTAAGTTTAAAACTTTTTTAATGGTAAAAATATCATAAGATATAAAGATAAAATGTTTGCAAAATGTTTTATATGGAGATATTTTACAAATCTACAAGGAATATGGATAGATAGTAATTTCCCCAAATAGACAGTGGACACAAGTGAAAAAGTCATGATTCAGATTCATACATAATACATACATGCAAACATATTTAACTTTACTAGTTATACTTGTTATAGATGCAATTTTAAATAACAATGGGAGAAATTTTTTTACCTGCCATTTTGGTAAAAATTTAAGAAGCAGAAATTTTGTAGTATTTTGGATGTACGCTGAAATGAGCAAACTTGGAAAGATATAGCCTTTTGACTCAGTTAGTCTACTTTTAAAAGTTTATCCTAAGCCGGGCTGGGTGGCTCAGCCTGTAATCCCGCGCTTTGGGAAGCTGAGGTGAGTGGATTGCCTGAGCCCGCTGGTTCGAGACCCACCTGGGCAACTTGGCGAGACCTCATCTCTACAATAAATCAAAAAATTAGCCGGGCGTGGTAGCACGCACCTGTAGTTCCAGCTACTTGGAAGGCTGAGGCGGAAGGATCGCTGGAGCCCAGCAGGTCGAGGCTGCGGTGGCCAGGAGTGGCCACTGCACTCCAGTCTGGGTGACAGAGTGAGACTCCAACTCAAAAAAAAAAAAAAAAGTTTATCCTAAAGAAGAAAAAAGCGTTCAGAGATTTTTTTCACAAGTATGTATAACATAATTTTTTTTTCCCCTTTATTTTATTATTGAGATGTAGGGAACATATCAGGATTAGGTACATAAGTAGTCTATGTGCAGGTGAAGTTTGGGCCTCCATCTGGTCCTTTCTTCACCTGGTTTAGGATCAGGTATCTTTGTGATGCCATATGCTTTCTCTTCTCCTTCCTTCCCTCCCCTGGTAGTGTCCTGGGACTGCTGATCCCTTTCTTATAGCATTGTGATACATATTTAGTACCTACTTATGAGTGAGAACATATGGTGTTCAGTTCTTTGTTTCTATGATGGATCACTAAGTGTGATGAACTCTAAACCCATCCGGTTTGCTGCGAAGTTCATAATTTTATCCTTCTTTATGGCTGTGTGATACTCCTTCATGTATATTAACCACATTTTCTTTATCCGGTGCATTTTTGATGGACAGCAGGGTTGGTTCCATGTTTTTGCTATTATGAATAGTGTGGCAATAAACATGCGTGTGCTGGTGTCTTTTTGGTAGAATGATTTAAGTTCCTCTGGGTACATTCCTAGAAGGGGGATTGCTGGGTCATATGAAAGGTAAATTTCTAGTTCTTAAAAATTGCCACACTGTTTTCCATAGAGGTTGGACTAATTTGCACTCCCAGCAACAGTATAGATGCATTCCCTTTTCTCTACATTCATGCCAGCATCTGCTTTTTGATTTACTAATGATGGCCATCCTTACTTTGAGGTAGGTGGTATCTCAATATGGTTTTAATTTGTATTTCTCTGATGGTTAGTGAGGCTGAGCATTTTTTAATGTTTCTTTTGGCTGCTTGTATGTCTTCTTTTGAGAAATATCTATTGATATCTCTTGCCTACTTTTTAATAGGGTTGTTGTTTTTTCCTTTTGACTTGTTTTTGCTCCTTGTAGATCCTGGATGTTAGGCCCTTGTCAGATACATAATTAGCAAATATTTTTTCCCATTCTGTGGGTTGTCTCCCTGCTCTCTTGATGGTGTAACTTGTTTTAATAGCAGTTTCCTTCTTTATTTCAATGGCTTTAGGGGATACAGATAGTTTTTTGTTACATGGTTGCATTGTATAATGGTGAATAAATCTGAGCTTTAAATGTACCTACCATCTTTGCCTGTACACATTGTACCTAATAGGTGATTTTTTTTCCCTCCACTCCTTCCCACCCTCCCATTTCTTAGTCTCCAGTGTCCTTTAATTTCATTTTCTTTGCCCTTAATGGTAAAAGTTTTGGAATGACCTAAATGTCCATTGATAAGGAATTTGGTAAATAAATTATGGTATGTTGTTACATTTAAATTAAATAATTGTGGTATGTTATTATATTCTGTTACTTCTTCTGATTTAAATGTATATTTATTGTCATAGAAACATATCTAAGACATTATTTAATGGAAAGAGCTTATTTTGTGAGTATGTGTAGTATGATCCCACCAGATAAAATGAAAAGATAATTGTATATATACACACACCTATATGCACTAGCTATATTTAGAAAAAATTAAAAAGGATATACATACAAATTTTAACAGCGATTTTTCTTTATGTGATAAGATGATTTGTGAGTTTTCTTTTTATTGATCTATATTTTCTTTTATGTAGCTAAGTTGTTTGTGTAAATAAAGTATTTTAAAGGTGACATTTTAAAGAAAATTTCTGGAAGTAATTAAATAATTTTTTCTACATTTTCTTTTATTTTTTGATATTGTAGGTATTAATTATCCTAGTTACAATTTGTCTCTTTTTATAATGTTTTCCTTATTTTAATTTTTATTTTGCATGTATGATGACTAGAGCCTTATAATTATAACAGCCATGGAGACTCCTGAGTATACAAATAGCCCTAAAAAATGGAAGAGGTTTTTTCCTTAGCTTCAATTGTGGAATTGTTAAAGTATTGATCATACCAGTGGCTAAACTTAGCTTTCTCCAACTCAGTAAGAGTTGAGAAATAATGTGGGCATAAATATATGCAGATTCATAAAGATTGTAATATTGGCAGGAAAATATCAGAAAACAACGCATGATGAACTTGAACTTTTTTAAAAACAGGAAGCTGAAAGAGCTAAGTATCAACTTGACTATTTGCAAAATCATAGGAAGGAGTCACTTAAAAGTGAGGGGAAGACCCAAACAACAATGGAAATGAGTACTGGTAAAATAAAAGTTAAACATGAAGATTCAAAAAATATACCATTGGAGAAACAAACAAGAAAATTGCTAGTTTCAGATTCAGGTGGACAAAATACAAATGATAAAATTCAAGAACATCCACAGGTAAGGAAGTAGACAAAATAGAGACAGGTACTATATGGTGTAAGACATGTTTTATCTTTCATATTCTTATTTACTTCATTTGTATATACTATTTAAAAATTACAACTCTTTTTTATTTTACTTTTGCTTTTTACATTCTGAATATGTCAATTCATTATCATCTTGAATATCAAACTCTAAATTAAATGTGTGCTGATTTGGAATGATTATTTAAGTATCTGATACATGGGAGCCATAAGAAAATAAGTGTTCAAAGACTGATTGTATTTTGCTATAAGTTAATCAAATTAAATATAAATGTAATATGGATTCTGTTGGGTAGTAGATTCACAAGCTCTTTCTTGAACTTTGTTCAGATTTATAGTGTATTTATACCTTAGAAAAGCAGTCCACACAAGAAAACAACTCTATTGATGAGAAATGAAGAGTTTAGGAAGTAAAGCAAAGTGTCAAAAATACATGTCCTTGTTTCATCAGTAAAGCTGTTATGAGGTTCCTCATTTCTTTAAAAGTATTTTATATTCTTTAGTATTTTTTCCACTTTCAGACTGAAAGTATTAAACATAGCAAGGCAACACTAGTAAAAGGAAAAGTAACAAGTAAGGTAAAACTGAACTAAAGACCCAATTCTCTACTTTTTATAGGGACTGTGAGACTATCACACAGCCCTTTAGTCTTTATTTTTATCTTCCCTTTTGTGTATACTTTTTACCGTGAACTACTTCAACTTTTTCCTGGAAAGATAAGTAATAAAGGAAATTACTCTGAAGGAAATAAAAATTATTAATGTTATTAGGTTAGTAAACTAATGGAATAAGGTGCACTGAATTTAATACAAAAACAAGTATTTATGAAAATGCAGGATTGTCTGTCAGTTGGTTTAAGACACAGAGCTCTTGAAGCAGCATAATTTAAAATGCACTAGTCATTGTTTATCTACAATTATTATAAAATATGCTAGCTATTTTATGTCTATGTCTATGTGTTAGTCATTTACACGGCTCTGTAAGATAGCTATTATCACCCTCATTTTGAGGATGAAATTGAAGCTTAAAAAAATTAAGTAAACTCACATCACAGTCATAATGTTGAATTAGGCCTTTTTGGCTCCAAAATCATGTCTAGAGTTACAATGTATTATAATATTGGCAGGAAAATGTCATAAAACAACAAATGATGAATTTGTACTTTTTTAAAAACAGGAAGCTGAAAGAGCTAAGTATCAACTTGACTATTTCCAAAATCAAAGGAAGGAGTCACTTAGAAGTGAGGGGAAAATCCAGACAACAATGGAAATGAGTACTGGCAAAATAAATGTTAAACGTGAAGATTCAAAAACGATACCACTGGAGAAACAAGCAAGAAAATCATTAGTTTCAGGTTCAGTTGGACAAATTACAAATGATAAAATTCAAGAACATCCACAGGTAAGGAAGTAGACAAAATAGAGACAGTAGTATTTGGTGCAAGACATGTTTTATCTTTTATATTCTTATTTACTTTACAGTTTTACTGGTGAAACAAGAACCTGTATTTTTGACACTTTGCTTTACTTCTTGAACTCTTTTCATTTCTCATTAATACAGTTGTTTTCTTATGGGCTGCTTTTCTCTTCTGAGGTATAAAGACATTATAAATCTGAAGGAGGATATCTTACTTTTCTATATGACTGCATTCAAAACCTCACTTTGTGTTTTGTATTTCTCAGTATTTATTTTTCTTAAATCCAAAATATACATTGTCATATATGACAGTTAAATATTGGGAAAGTTAGATTTAATAGCAAGAGGATCCCGAACAGAAATAGCAACTTCATTACCTAAAATATCATTTGGCTTTCACATGAGCAAGTGATGCTGGTAATAGTGAAACACAAGGCATCATTACTGGAGATTTGGATGGAAGTTGTTTATACTCATTGTTTCCATGTTCTTATGGTAATTTTTAAGTTAACTATAATTTTACTTATTTCTCAACCAGTATATTAAAGCTATTTTTGCCAAGGTCACAACAAATCTACTTGATGCAATGCTAAAGGATGCTTTATTTTATGAATTTAATTAAATTTAATTAATTTTTTTGAGGTGGGGTCTCATTCTGTTGCTGAGGCTAAAGTGCAGTGGCACAAACACAACTCACTGTAGCCTTGATCTTCTTGGGCTCAGGTGTTCCTTCTGCCCCAGCCTCCTGAGTAGTTGGGACTACAGACACGTACCACCACTTATGGCTAATTTTTTTATCTTTTATAGAGACAAGATCTCACTATGTTGCCCAGGTTGATCTCGAACTCCTAAGATCAAGTAGTCCTCTTGCCTTGGTCACCCAAAGTGGGTGGGATTACAGGTGTGAGCCACTGTGCCTGGCCAATGATTTATACTTGTATTTCACTTGTTCTCTTAGTAACATCTATCCGTTTGACCATTTATTTCTTTTGAATATAGTCTGTAGTTTGTTTGAGGGACAGCATAATTATTTGGTTTTCCTTATATTTTTCTGGTACTTCTTTTATATCTCCTCCTGCTCTCTTCATCCTTTAACTGTTGGTATATATCTGGGTTCTGTCCTGGATTCTTTTTTGTTATATATACTCTTTCTTAGCATACTTCTATAACCTCATAGCTTCCAGTGCTGCATAAATCTCTTATCTCTAACCTAGATAGGACCTAATTTCCAGACCTATTGTCCATCAACATATTGAATTTGTCTACTTGCATGGGCTATGAGCATCTAGAATTCATCATGTCCCCCCAAAAACTGCTTCCTTCTCAGACCATTTTATTTCCTGGTATCACAGTTTCCTAACATCTTCATTCAATGAATTGCTGGAACTAGAAACTCCAGGATCACCGTTATTTCTTCTGTTCCTTTGTCTTGATCCAATTATTAGCCATCAAATTCTGTCCACTTTTCTCAATACCATTGACATTTCTTTTAGTTTAACCCTGTCTTCAGAATTAACTATTTTCAGTCTAGTTTCCATGTTGGTGTTTAGTCATCTTTCAAAAATTGATATTTATTTATGTTACCTTCTTGCCTAAAATCTTTAATGGTTCCCATTGTTCTTAGTTGAAGTACAGATTTGTAATTGTGGTTTAAGGCTTTGTCATATCTCATCCTTTATTGAGACCCCAGTTTCATCTTTATTTGCCCCCCTCAGATCATTGCACATGCTTTTGTATGCATATATGTTACGTATTTTATTCTTTAGCTATGTGAACTTCTTTAAATTCATAGAACATAGCATATTTTCTGTAACCTAAAGTATTTTGCATATTTTGTTTTCTTTGTTTAAAACACCATTTCACCTTTCCTCATTTCTTAAAATTTATCTGGTTAAAAAATAAATGAGGAACAAAATTACTATTTCAGCTATCTTTTGTTACATAACAATTATGCCAAGATTTAGTGGCTTAGACAACAAACATATATTATCTCAGAATATTCATAGGCCAGGAATTCTAGTGTGCCTTAGCTGTGTTCTCTGTCTCAGGGTCTCTCACAAGGATGTAATCAAGGTGTTAGCTTTGGCTATATGTAACTTAAGATACAACTGAAGGAGGATGTACTTCCAGTCTAACTCTTGTACTCATCTAACTGTTGGCAGGCCTCAGGTGCTTGCTGGCTTTTGTCCTGAGACATCAGTACCTTGCCATAGGAGCCTGTCTCTAAGGCAGCCTACAACCATGGAAGCAAGAGGGGTATGGAGAGATAAATGGAGAGAAATGGAGAGAGGGACAGAGATAGAGAGACAATGAGAGAGAGAGACAGAGACACACACAGAGAGCGACACGGGGGTTGGGGGGCGGAGTGAGAGAAGGCAGAGGAGAGAACCTGATCTTGGAAGTGACATCTCATCACTTTAGTCATATTCTACTAATTAAAATTAGAAGCAGCCACTAAGTGTCAGCTCAGACACAAGGAAAGGGTGTTCCACTGACTTGAATACCATGAAGCAGGTATAATTGGGAACCACGTTAGAGACTACCTCCAAGTATATTGGTGTGAGATTGTAAAAACTCCTGAACTGAATGCTACACTAAGCAGATTGATCTTCAGTTTTCAAAAAAAGAAAGTTTTTGGGTAAAGGAATAACATGTAAGACCCATGTTTTAAAATAAGATAATTGTGCATTAGTGAGGTAGAGGTATTCTCCACTTTTGATGATCCCAAATTAACAAGGGTTTCTTGTATATAACTGTAAATTTCTTTCTTCCTCCCTCTCTCCCCCCTCCCTCCTCCTCCCTCTTTCTCTCTCTCCTTTCCCCTTCCTTCCTTCCTTCCTTCATTCATTCATTCCTTTACTTTTTATTTATTTTTTGCTGATATAGCTCTCCTAAGTATTATAGTGCTCTTGGTTGGCTGTGGAACTGTGATATTGTTTTGTAAATGTTTTTTTTTTTTTAACTTTTTTATTTTAAAGATGTGGGGTTCAATTCAGGGTTAGGTATACAAATATTCAT